TCTCCTTGATCAGAAAATTTGGGACACTACTGAGTTACATGATGTTACAGTACAAGTTCTCATATGTCCTGAGTCTTGATTGACCTTAGAAGGCTAGGGCCAAAATGTTGGCTTTCCTTGCGGCCCTCCTTTTTCTCTAATTTTGGTCTGCAAACTAGGTTGTTAACCCTCCAGAAGATAAGCTTATTGTTATGACCATATAACCTAGGCTGTTCAGCTTAACATCACTATCTATCTGAATATCAAACATCTTAGGCATAACAAGATAAAATTTTTAATAATGGACTGGGATATAGCTTACCCACCATGAGTTCAATTGTAGTTCCAGATAGCGCACACATGCACGTACACACACACACACACACACACACACACACTTAAATAGTAATAGCTGCTTAACAGTTTAAAAAATATGAATGAGCTTATTTCCTACATAGAACCTAAGGGAAGATACAGAAATGAATAGATGATTGGTATATATTTAATTTAATTCACAGCCACTGCCCTCATGTCATATTACAATAGTATTTTGTAGGTAATCTTAAGTAAATTTTGAAGAACTGTTGCTTGAAGAGAATTATATGTTAATGAAAATAAATCCTGTGTTCAAACTTAGAAAGTCATTTCAATACTACAATTAAAACTATTCTAAAATTAATTTAGAAATACATTTTTCACTTGCATTGGAAAATGTCAGGTTATCTGGTGTGTTTATTTCAAATTGACAGTTTTATTCTCTGTGTGGAAACGGCCTCATAAAGAATCACTTAGAAGGGCTGGGGAGATAACTCAGTAGTATAAGTGCCTGCCCAGCAAACACAAGGTCCTGAGTTTGATTCCTGGTACAAAAAAAGAATCATCTTAGAGGGCTAGGAAGATAGTTCAGTGGACTAAAGTACATGCTTAGGCAAGCACAGGATCTGTGGTTTGATCCCTGGCACCACGTGCTGTCCTGCGCAGGCCCCCCCCCCCCCCCCAGCAGGCTGAGCTGGCTAGCATCTGGGCGGGTGTAGTGGCACCTGCCTGTAATCCTAGCATTGGGGAGGCTGAAAGCAGGAGTATCACCACGAGTCTGAGCTGCATAGTGAGACCCTGCAACAACCAAATACATTTTTTTAAAAAGCTGAAAAATATACTCAATACTAGCTAATGAAATATATAGCAGTTTGATTGACATAATGACCTAGTAGAACTCAGAGAACCTGAGTATGGGTTTAGCGCTACTGATTCCAAGCATTTAAACTGTAGGAATAATAATGCACCACGTGGGTGTTTAGTTTTAGAGGATTTTTTAAGTTCTTAAGAAAATCTACCTAGTGAGTCATATTATTACCATTTTGGAGTTGTATTATTATTATTATTATTATTTTTTTTTTTTTTTTTTTTTTGGCGGAACCGGGAATTGAACTCAGGCCCTTGTGCTTGCCAGGGAAGCGCCTATTCCACTGAGCCATCTCCCCGGCCCAACAAAGAGACAGCCGGGACGGGGGCGCGAACCGGCGACCTCGTGCTCCGCGGCCCGGCGCCCAGACCGCTGCGCCAGGTCGCCGCCTGGAGTTGTATTATTAAGTAGTATTCATTTGAACTTTTTTAGGAATATTATTAGTCAGAATTCAGTTAAAATTATTTTTATAGGATGATACATTTATAGGGGGAAGCAGTACAAATCAAAGTGTTCATTATAGCTTTATTCAAAACGACACAAAAAGCTGGGGCTCAGTGGCAGAACATGTGCTTGGTATTGTGAGGCTGAGTGTTCTATCCCAGCAATGCAGGCAGTATAGTGTAATGAAATAAATGTGTAAGTAAGAGAAGGGAAGTCAGGATAAACATACATGGTGCCAGCACTCAGGAGGCTGAGGTGGAAAGATCACCTGGTGCCAGGAGTGTGATACTGTACCGAGCAATATAACAAGCCTCGTCATCTGAGAACAAATACAGTGCTTAAGAAATTGTTTTTGTTTTTGTTTTTACTTTAGCATAACTTTTATATTTCTTCTATTTTCGGAATTGAACTCAGGGTCTTGCACACACTAGGTAAGCACTGTGCTAGTGAGGTGCTTCCTTAGCCCAGTATAACTATTTTATTTGTTCATAATTCTTTGGTTTAGAAATTTAAGCTGTGCTCAGCTGATGTCACCCGCACTTACTAATACAGCTATAGTGAGGGTGTGGCTTTGCGTGGACTGGATGGTCCAGAAGAGCCTAGTAACATATGTGATATGTGATACTGTTTCCTTCTTCTACCACATGAGTTCTCACTCACAAGCAAAACAGCCTGTGAGGTGAATCTGTGAAGACTTCTGGGCTTGGAAATCATACTGTGTATCTGTGAGCTTCAGTTGAACAGAGCACATCAAGGCCAGCCTGGAATATTAGTGGTACACAAATAAATTATACTGTCTTTAAAAACATGGAGCTTTGTTGCCTGGCCTGTGTGAGGCTGGAAGTTCAATCCTTAGCACCATCCAAAACAAAGCTTTTGAAATATTCAGTGAGTTTAATATTTATGATCATATTATATAACTGTCACCCACTAATTCTAGAATATTTCCACGCTAAAAAGCAACCTGGTACAGTACCTATTAGCAGGCCCTCCCTATCACCCTTCCTCCTAACTTCTGACAACTCTAACTCATGAATCTATTTTAGTCTTCTGTGGCTATCTTCTCTTTTTGCTATGTAGTTTAGGCTGGTCTTGAACACAATGTGTAACCCAGGCCACCTTCAGACTCGCAGCAATCCTCTAGGCAATTGCCTCTGCGCCTGGGGGATTTCTCTATTTTTGACATTTCTTATAAAATGGGAGTGATTGTAGAATATGTGGCCTTTTTTGTAACTGGCTTTTTTCATCTGAATTAATGTTTTTAAGTCTTATATATGTTGTAGCATTTATCAGTGTTTTTGTTTTAGGACCTGAATACCATTTTATAGTGTGGCTGTACCAATTACTGTTTATCCACTTATCAGTTGATGGACAGTTAGATTGTTCTCGCTTTTGATTTTAATAATGCTGCTTTGAACATGTACAGGGTAGTTGGAAACATGTTTTAATTGCCTTTGAATACATACAGTTTATACAGTAAATAAAATATTTTAAAAGTATGGCTTTGTTCTTATTTTTCGAAGCACATTTATTTTAAGTTGGTGTAATTTTTTTTTTTCCAGCGAGTATTGAGCCATCAAGATGACACAGCTTTGCTAAAAGCATATATTGTTGAATGGCGGAAATTCTTTACACAGTGTGATATTTTACCAAAACCCTTTTGTCAACTAGAGATTACTTTAATGGGTAAACAGGGCAGCAATAAAAAAACAAATGTGGAAGATAGTATTGTGCGAAAGGTAAGTTGGTTTTTCCCATTGTTTTGTCAAATGTTTTTCAGAAAGAGGGTTGCTTGAAGGCATTTCAGAATAATTAGACGTTTAAGTGAATTTCACATATAAATTCACATGTAAATTCTTCATATATAAATATTTTTCAGCTCTAACTGAATTTTATTGTATAATACCTTTTCTTCTTTTATATTTAGCTTCAGGTCTCCGTCTTTGTGTTTTTTTGTTTTTGAGGTGGGCTTGCTTGTATTTCAAGCTGGCCATGAACTCACTGTGTAGCCCAGGCTAGCCTCCATCTTGCAGTGATCCTGCCTCAGCCTCTGAATGCTGAGATTGTAGGCATACACCACTGTGCCTAGTCTTCTTCATCTTTTTTTTTTCCTTGAATCATCATTGACATCTTTTTCCTCCCCCTTTTCTTTTTCCTCTTCCTCCTCCTTCATTCTTTTTTCCCCCTCTTGCTCTTTTTCTTCATCCTCCTCTTTGCCCTCTCCTCCTCCTCATTCTTCTCCAGGACACAGACTCTGTATTCTGGGCAGATCTTGAACTTGTGGCAATGCTATGTCAAGTTTGTGAACATGAAGTGGGTTTATGTGAAAAATACATAGAGGAATCCCTCGGGTACAGGGTGAATGTTATAAGTGTGAACCCTGTTGCTTTTGCTACTGCTGCTGTTATTAACGTAACTCCTGTATTCAACAAAGTACTTAAAGCACAAAATGTATTCAGCAATGTGTCTATACTGTTCCTGTCATTTTGATGAATATCTGTAAGAGATTTATGTGTGCTTTTTAAGAAGACTAGTGTCAAATAGATGTTCTGCATTTTAAATGTCAGTGTATACATATGCATATGAATATTCTAAACACATCAATATTTATGAAGTCCATCTTGAAACTATGGAAGAAGCAGCATATATAT